GGAAAGGGAGAGAAGCAGATCCAGACGGCGGCGTCAACGCCACACGCATCAGAAGCGGTTGCCTAGGCCGCGGGGGTGGCGGCCCGGCGCCCCGGGCTGGACCGCGACTTGCACCCTGGGCCTCGCTGCTCCGCTGGCTCGCCCGGCTTGCCAGTAATTAGGAGGAATGGCCCGGCATATCACACGCCACGACGCCCTGGACCGGCCGCCCGGACCGCCGTTTTGATTAATATTCAATTTCATTATTAATGTACAGGCGGGGCAAAAGCGGGCCATCTCGGCCAGTGGTGTAGTCAGTAACAGTGGCTGGCGGGGCCGTCGTGGTGGCGGCGGCGGCGCACAGTGGGCCAGATGACCGGTGGAGGCGGTCAAAATCCAGACGCGTTTTGAGCTCCAGAGTCGCTTGTATGGGACCCAAACCAAACGCGTGACTCCACCAGGATTGATCTCCGACAGAAGAATCTATTGATTGAGTCACACGTTTGGTTCGAGCCCTGGTTAGCGACTATGGAGCTCGAAACGCGTCTAGAGTTTTGGCCGCCTCCACCGGTCTTCTGACCCACTGCGGTGGGCGGTGGGGCACGGCTGCGAAGCCAGCGACAGCCACCCCCGATATCTGAATCGCAGAGGCCTCTTCCGAATCGAATGAATAATACTCGGGAATCGGGCGGCGTTACCCATATTCACGTGTGGACACCACATGCGAGCAGCTTGGAGCCCTTCCGGAGGCGCTGCCGGGACATAGGGGCGGCGACGAGGACGGCGTCGAGCACGGTGTCGACGACGGTCACAGGAATGCAAACTTAATTACACCAAGTTGACTTGCAATCTCCCAGCCAGCTCCACCGCGCGGGGTTGGGCGGGGCGGGGCGGGGCGGGGCGAGGCGGGCCAGGGCGCGGCACCTCGGATGGGGCACGTCGGGCACGTGCATCGCGCAATCTAAGCCCATTACAAGGCGCGGCTAGGCGCGGCAGCAGGACCGGGTTCAGCGTGCAGGGCGGAGTGGCGGGACGAGTGGACGAGAGGACGCGGAGTGGCGCGGCGTGGCGGGGAAGGGGTAGAGCGGGCACCCCTGGCGCTCCCCCACCCCTTCCCTTGCGGCGGCGTCGCTGCGCAAGACAATCGCCTCGGCGATAATTTACAGTGCTTAATAAAGCAAGCAGGGCGAGGCCGGCGAGGCGTCGCAGCGCGCCGCAGCCGGTGCCCCCGTCTCCGTCCCACACATGGAGATAAAACACAGGGCCAACAATGCACCCCGCCGGGGCCGGCGGCCTTCCCCACGCCGACGGCGGCGACGGCGGCGCCCTCCTCAGCCTCGGCGGCCTCGGCGGCGGCGAGGAGATTCGTCTCATTTGCGCGGCGTCTTGTCTTCGACTTGAGGCGCCGCCTGGAATGTTAGCGCCGCGGCGCCATACGTCTCCTCGGAGGGAGCGGCCGGCGACACACACACACACACACACACACACACACACACACACACACCTACACACACACACACAAACATGCCTCCGCGACACTTGCCATCAAATGCAACACAGTGCATGCATAGCGCCAAACGGTTGCGAATAAATCTCGAGGGAAGTGGAAGCGCAGCTCGGCCAGCCCTTGACCGAGCCATTGACCCGCCCAACCCAACCCGCCCGCGTCGCCCTCACAGGTGTGTTTTAAAAAGCGCGACCGCCCCCGCCGCGCCCGCCGTGCCCGCGGCGGCCGAGCGGACATCTGCTTGACTGCGCTTCTTGCGCCGCGCCCCACCGCCGCCCCCTTCCCTTCCCAGCAGATTAATCCCAGATTGAAATCCCTCGTCGTTGGCCGGGCCAGCGGCAGCCAGCGGCAGCCAAATCTGGCCATTGCAATCTTGTAAGGTGGCCCTGTTTTTGGGGGGTGGCGCGGCTGCGCAGTGGCCGCTCTTTGCATATGCACGCCACGGAGACGCGGGCCTTGGGGTCCGAGGGGCGCCGTCCTGGTCGGCCCCGGATCGCCCGCCACGCGCGCCTCCGTCAAGATCCCCGTGCGCCTGTTGCGTCGGGGCGCACAGAGCTTATCGGGGAACGACTTCTGTTTGCGCGGGGATCAAGCAGAGGCCCGAGGCGGCAGGCGGCCCCAGGCACGCGCCGCACCCTCCCCGTCGACGGCAGCGCCAGCGTCGCCGCTCCGTTCAGGTGCGTGATCTTGGCAAGGCGCGCGGCGGCATGGCGGCGGCATGGTCCAGTGTCCCAGCGTCTTGGCGAGGGCGGGAGTCGCCGGGGGGTCCGGAGTCCTGGTGGGCGCCGCGGTCGGCGGCGCTCCTTCGCTCCCCCGAGTCGAGGTCCCCTGTCCACTCGGCTGCACTCCATTAAGCACAATCAAGACGCTGGCCATAACTCATACAAGTCCGCTGTGCGCGCTGGGCGCGCTGGGCGCCGCCCGAGGAGGCCAAGTCCGCCAGGGGGCTGCGGGGCTGCGCGCTGCCTAATTGTTTACGGATTGCGATTGCAAGACGCACGGCCCGGCCGGCAGCGCTCTATTGCGATTCACGGCGTCCGCGCCGTCCGGGTCGGGCTGGGCGACACCCCGGGCCGCGCAAAGCCAAGGGCGGCGCCCTTGTCCGGACACGGGCCGGGGCCGCCGGGCCGCTGCCCCGCCTTGCGCGCCGCGCTCCGCCTCTTGAGGTCGAACTAAGTTTATCGACGGCGTCTGCGGGGCTCCTTCCCGCCCTGCTGCGCGCTGCTGCGCCCTGCTTCGCCTTCCGGTGGCGTGCCCGGCCCGGCCGGCCTTTTGGAGCCCTGCCATCAACACGGCACACCCGCTGTGCGGCGGCAGAGCAGACGACGCGGGCACACAACACAACACAGCGAGCGGGGCTGGGGCTCGGAACTCGGAACGGGGCGGGGGCGGGGCCCAGGCGCGCCGCGCGCACGCCGCTTAGAAACGCATCAAACATTAAATGCCGCCGGCCGCAGCCTCGCCGCGCCGCGCCGCGCCCCGCGTTCCGCCCCGCACACGTGGCGCGCCATGTTTCATATATCCTTCCCTCAGGGGACGACGCGGCCGGGGTGCCAACGGAGCCTCGCTAAACTTTGATAAGTCTTTGGTCCGCACATGTGCTCCTGCAACACCCCGCCCCGCCCCGCCACGGCTACTTTACAGTCGGGCAGCGCGCTGGACTGGAGGCCGGACTCCAGCGGACTCCAGCGGACAGCCCGCTGCCCGGCCACCTGGAGCACGCCGCCGACGGCCAAAACACGACTAACTCGGCGGTGCCACCGCGCAGCCGGTGTCTCACCCTCGCCGTCAAGCCACTGACGGCCAAATGCAACCACCTATTCAGCGACTAATTGTTGCAGCGCTTGCCGCAGCACGCAGGGCACTGCGAGTTCGGCGGGGGCCTCTCCGAGGGGCCGTGGCGCTCCGCTCCGCGCTCCGCCACCAGACGATCGGCGACGACCCCTGCAATTTGTTTATAACAGAGGCGGGCCGAGCGAGGAGCAGCGAGGCGGCGCGGCGAACCAAGTTAGATGGGCCCCGGGACGGTCGGGACGGCCGGGGCGCGGCGAGGGCTCTTTAGGGCCTCGTTCGCCTCCTCGTCGTCGTCCTTTTATTGTGTCGGGCCAAGCACCGCGCCGCGCGCAGCGTCTCGATACGGGGCAAAAGGATTCGCGACGTCGGCGTGGTGCGCCGCCCTCGCCGCCGCCCCCGAAACCCCCCGAAGCCCCCCGAACCCGGCGCGCCAAACGCTTTTTGGCTTTGACTGTCGGCAGATCCGCTGGCCGAGATTCGGGAGCCAACCCCGGCCACCCCGGCGCCGTTTGTGGCCGAACAACAACGCGACCGCCACCACCACCAAGGCGGCGGCGTGGCGGCGTGGCGGCGTGGCGGCGCGGCGGAGGGGCGAGGCGAGGCACGCGGAGGGCATCAGCTTTCACACGAATCAATTATCAACGGACTGCAAAAAGGTGGCGACGGCGATGGCCATTTGATGAGCCCCGTGACGCGCGCGGTTATCACAACCACGACGAGCAGCGCGGCGGCGAGCGCGGCGAGGCAGCAACGCGGCGGCAGCGCGGCGGCATGCAAATTCAATTCAATTAATGCCATCCCGCCACGGCGCGCTCGGCCGGGCGGCGGCGGACACGGGCGCGCCGGTTTTTGTGCGCGGACCCGCGAGGCGAATTCGCAAAACGGGAGCAGCGGGGAAACACGGCGCGGCCAAGCGCGCCCTCGGGCCGTCAGCTGGGCCGCTCCCACCCCGGCGCCTCGCCTCGGCCCGCCCCGGCCCGCCCCGGCCCGCCCCGGCCGTGCCGCGGGCCGGTAGTCGAACCGATCAACACGTGTTGATGCGGGCGATTGATCGGATCCCGCGGCCGGTCGGTCACGCGGCCCAGTCACGGCGGGTCGCCGATCGTGTCGATTTGTCGAACACGCGGCCCGATCGGCGACGCCGCGCACGCCGCGCCGAGCAGTGAGGGGTGAATCACTAGTGTACTCATATGTACAAACATGCCCGTACTCAGTGTAGTCACAAGTTAAAATTTGGCTAAATTTGCTAGTTTTAAGTAAGATTTGGTGTTGCGTGTTGTCTGAAACTCTAAATAAAGTCTTAAAGCGTTTAAAATTGTGAAATTTATGAGTTTTTTCAGGTGTACACTCTCATTCCAGGAACGTGACATCACGTTGAAACGAACGTGACAAAGTGTCACGTTCGTTTGAGCATTGTGTCACGTTCGTTTGAATGTGAACGAGCTGATTTTCGGCCAATTCACACCCAAACGAATGTGACACAATGCTCAAACGTGATATCACGTTCCTGGAATGAGAGTGTACTCACCCTTACTCATGTACTCATGTGTACACCAGAACGCTGAGTCATTCACCCCTCGAGTGTCGCCCCTTCCGGCGGCGTCGCCACGCTGGAAGGACTCTCCGCGTTCGCGCGGTCAAAAAAGGCGATCGGATTCACTGAACGGCCCCCGGTGAGGATCGGTCGAACCCGGGACCGCCACGACGGCGACCTGCTTACCTGGGCTGAAGGTGACGTCGCCGGTGAGCAGGTCTCTGGAGCCGGAGAGCTGGTGGTCCACCGAGTAGAACGACTGCAGCGCCTCCCACTCGGACGGCCACACGAGCACGAGCCTGAGGCACATAAACACGCCACTCCACGTTAGGGCAGTCACAATAACAATAAGAACAACAACAAGATAAGAAAAACAACAAGATAAGAACAACAACAAGATAACAACAACAACAACAACAAGATAAGAACAACAACAACAACAACAACGACGACGACGACGACGACGACGACGACGAACGAACACGGAAAGTAAAAATATGATTGTTGTTGGCAACAATCTGGTTTTCGGTAACAAACTATGGTTATGGTTTTAGGTAAAAATCTGATTTCCTCTGAAAACTTCTGTCGGCCGTCCGAGGCAGTCCGGGGCATGACACAAGCGGGCCGCCGTCGTCGACGTGCTGACGAGGCCCGAGGCAAGCGGCACGCGTGGCGGCGCTAATTTTCAGGCGGCGCGGCAAGCCGTTGCGCCGTGGCGCCCTGCCGGCGACACAATTGATGGCCAAATGATGACAACAATCATCGCCTGCCTCGTCTCTTCTTATTTCTCGCAGTCGTGGCGTGGCGTGCCGTGGCGCGCCCAGCCATCTGCGGTATGCAAATCATCGGCCAAACAGCAAAGCAACCCCTCCGGCCCGCCACGCGCAAACACACACACCCACCCACACACAGCGGCGTTAATCTGTTATTAAATGTCACCACACAAGTGAGGCCCACAAAGGCAGGCAGCTTCATCGCAGCAGCCCGGCGGTGGCCACTAGGCGGTGGCGGCGGGGGAGAGGGGGGGGGGGGAGGAGGAAGAAAGAAAGAAGGCACGCGAAAAGAGGGCGAGGGGAGGGGACAAGATAAGGGGTGACAACCACCAGAGGGCGCGACGGGCGCGCGCGAAGAACCGCCAAAACAAGCAACACGCAGCGCCGCCACGCCACTGGAATGCTGCGAATTTATCACATCTTCCGCCGGCAAAGCGAAGCAAGTCGCCGAGCAGCAGATAGCCGCAGCGGCAACGCCAGTGTGCTTCCAAGTCGCAACAGACTTGCATTCTCAGCATACCGACCCCTGCCAAGACGCTGCCGGCCAAGCCTTGGGCCAAGCCGAGCCCCCTGATTTCACACACACGCTAGCAGACAACCCCATCGGGGTCGCGACGCCCTCGGGCATGCCCCAGCACAGTGGACCAGAAGATCGGTGGGGCCGGCCAAAATCCCGGGCGCGTTTTGAGCTCCAGAGTCGCTAAATGGGACTCGAACCGAACGTGTGACCCCAACAATGGATTGCTCTTCGAACGAGGAATCCATTGGTGGGGTCACACGTTCGGTTCGAGTCCTGTTTAGCGACTCTGGAGCTCAAAACGCGTCAAGAATTTTGGCCGCCTCCGCCGGTCTTCTGGCCCACTGTGCCTTGGCCACCGCCGCAGCCCGTTCATCCCAAAAGGAGGATGACTCGTCGGGGACGTGCAAGCAGATCGGGAAGGAGCGACACCATTAGGCGGTTCAAAAGAAAGAGGGCCCCGCGACCCCCGGCGGCGGGGCCTGGCCTAGCGCCCCGCGCCCTGGCCACGCCGCCGACACGAAAAGGGATGTTTTAAAAAGCATTCGCCGGACGACGCGAGTGCTGCACAAGGACAAAAAGGGGCCGCACCACTTGGCCGTCCCTCGGCTCGACCGCCAGGGCCAGGCTCTAGGCCAGGCCGAGCGGGGCGGCGCGGGGCGGCAAGGAAAACACAGCGCGCCGAGGAAAAAAGAGCCCGGGTGGTTATTTAAACAGCCAGGCATATTTGCATAAAGGAAGAGCTGCTCAGTGTCACAAAGCAATCAAGGCCCGTCGGGAGGGGAGGGGGGGCGGGGGAGGGCGCTCCGAGGCCGCGGTGCGCGTGCATTGTTCTGCAGCGGCGGAGCGGCGGAGCGCCGGCCAGTGCAAACACCGGGTACTCCAGGTGCGCGACGTCGGCGACGCCGCGACACTCGAAGCACCGCCCAATTCATTCGAATCCACTTCCGGCCAAGGCCGGGCCGAGGCGGGGTGAGGCGCTCGAGGCGAGCGAGGCCGACAAAAAGGACGACGTCGACGACGAGGAAGAGGAGGAGGAGGAGGAGGAGGAGGAGGAGGAGGAGGAGGAGGAAGAGGAGGAAGAGGAGGAAGAGGAGGAGGAGGAGGAGGAGGAGGAAGAAGAGGAGGAAGAGGAGGAAGAGGAGGAAGAGGAGGAGAAGGAGGAGGAGGAGGAGGAGGAGGAGGAGGAGGAGGAGGAGGAAGAGGAGGAAGAGGAGGAAGAGGAGGAAGAGGAGGAAGAGGAGGAAGAGGAGGAAGAGGAGGAAGAGGAGGAAGAGGAGGAAGAGGAGGAAGAGGAGGAAGAGGAGGAAGAGGAGGAAGAGGAGGAAGAGGAGGAAGAGGAGGAAGAGGAGGAAGAGGAGGAAGAGGAGGAAGAGGAGGAAGAGGAGGAAGAGGAGGAAGAGGAGGAAGAGGAGGAAGAGGAGGAAGAGGAGGAAGAGGAGGAAGAGGAGGAAGAGGAGGAGGAGGAGGAGGAGGAGGAGGAGGAGGAGGAGGAGGAGGGGGAGGAGGAGGAGGACGGCACTGGCAGTGCTACTGCAGGCCGGCCGGCTGGCGCGCTGGCTGCGCTGGAACGCCCAAGGAAAGTCAATTTAGAGTATATCGACGATCGTTGCGCGGCCAGTCGTTAAACTCGGTTAAGTGGCAAATTCCTTCCACGCTGCTCCGCTGCCTCGCTGCTACCAGACGACGCCACGCCAGCGCCTCCGCCGGGGCAGCGGGCAGCAGGCGGCGGACGCACAGTGGGCCAGAAGACCGGTGGAGGCGGCCAGAACTATAGACGCGTTTAGAGTTCCAGAGTCGCCAAGCAGGACTCAATTCGAACGTGTGACCCCACCAATGGATTCCTCGTTCAGAGAGCAATCCATTGGTGGGGTCACACGTTCGGTTCGAGTCCCATTTAGCGACTCGAGAGCTCAAAACGCGTCCAGAATTTTGTCCGCGCCTACACCGTTCTTCTGGCCCACTGTGGGACGGGACGGACTGCTCGACGGGCAGCCACAACACCCGTCGCCGCGACGCCACGCTCCACTGCACTTTTCGGACCCAACTGCCCCGGCAGCGCCAAGGCAGCGCCAAGGCAGCGCCCTGCCCCGCGCGATCGCGCGACTTCACTAATAAAAACGTCGCCGGGGAAACGGAGAAAGAAAAAAAGAAAGAGAGAGAAGTGAGGCGAGCCAATCGCACACAGTGTAGGGACGTTAATCAGCGAACAATGTATCGGCTGGTCCGCTAATTAAGGCTAGATGAATGGCACTCTAATCAATTTAACTCATTTTAAAGTTAAATGAGCATCGGCGCCGTGAACTGCTTGGGTCCTCTCCGGCGGCGCTCCACCGCCACGCCGCGGTGCCCCCAAAGCCAAAGCTGGGGAGGTGCTACCCACCGCAAAAGCAAGGTCAGACCAAATTTCAGCGACGAATTTCAAAAGGAACTTTATGAAACGGTCGATGAACAACAAAACAAAAACCGTATCGGCGGGCAAGCACTCACCTCTTGAGACTGTCCTCCAGGCTGGCGGGGTTGTACAGCAGCCGCATGTGCTGGCAGAGCAGGGGCTCGTTCAGGAGGCCGAGGGGCGGTTCGCTGCGACGCCTGTGGCAAACAACACCCGCACTATTAGCCGCAGCAACAACAACAACATCACACACGCACAACACTGCATGACTTTGCAGTCCCGCCCGAAACTACACGCAAACTGCGCTGCAACTAGCGCCGCCGCGGTGGCGGCACGCGGCGCGCGAAGATTGATGACGTGGAGATGGACCACTACACCGCGAGCACGGTGAGCACGGCGAGCACGGCGACGACCTGGCCGTCCGAGAGGAGGAAGAGCATCCTCCAGACAACACGCAGCACCTTCTCGTCGGTACTCTACTTGAAGCCCGACGGAATTAGCGCCGGGGTGTCGTCCCCGCTCCGCCCCGCTCCGCGCCGCACAGTGGGCCGGAGGCGGACAAAACTCTAGACGCGTTTTCAGCTCCAGAGTCGCTAAACAGGCCTCGAACCGAACGTGTGACCCCACCAATGGATTCCTCGTTCGGAGAGCAATCCATTGGTGGGGTCACACGTTCGGTTCGAGTCCTATTTAGCGACTCTGGAGCTCAAAACGCGTCTAGAGTTTTGTCCGCCTCCGCCGGTCTTCTGGCCCACTGTGCCCCGCTCCGCCCCGCCCCGCGGGCGATGAGAAGGCACCGCGCAGTGACTCGGCAGGAGCGCCCTTTCGGCCTTTCGGAAACGCGTCGCCCCGGAACTGTGTTGACAGTCCGGGCCGCGGGCCGCGGGCCGCAGGCCGCCCCACACGGGCTTGGCGCGCGGATAAGATAGGGCCAGCCCCACGGCCTGCATGACGGCGCCTGGGAAGAGGGCGGTCCGTCGGGCGGTCATTAGCGAAGGGGCGCGCGGCGAGCATTCGGCATTTCCATCACAACGGCGCCGGGAAAGCCGGGAAAAACGATGGGAAAAGCGCGGGGCAGCGGCAGAAAAAGTGCCAGTGTACACCGAGGGGGTAAACACTTCAAGAAATCGTGTACAGACTACTCGGTATTACGCTGTATTACGGGTGTATTACACGTGTATTACGGCCCTAAAATGCCCAAATTTGGCACATTTGACCCAAAAATGGTATTACGATCACGTGTATTACGCGTATTACACGGTTTTTGTGTACAGGGTATTACGCGAGTGGTTACCCCCTCGGTGTACACACTGCAGCAGCTTCTCCGTTCTAATCAAATCAGTCTATTCATCAAGCAGGCCGGGCCGGGCCGGGCCGGGCCGGCCCCGAGACGGATCTGCAGCCGTAAAAAGGGCGCGCGGCAAGCGAAGGCAAGCGAAGGCAAGCGGAGGCAAGCGGAGGCCCGAAGGCGCGACGCGGCTGTGACCCAGAAACACTGCCAAGCGTCCCGGCTGTCCCGGCAGGGCCAGCAGGCAGGGCCACTGCGCACTGCAGTCCCTCCCGGACACAGAGGAGGACCGCGCTACTCGCCGCACCCGACCAAGGGGCCATCTGGCAGCCATCAGACAGGCCGGCGAGGCGGCCGAAGTCGAGTCGAAGCAAGCCCGCCAGCGCGCCGGGCTGGGTAGGCCGTCGGTGGCGTCGGCGAGCAGCGGGGTGCGGCGGGGTGCCTACCTCGCAGGCGCTACCGCTCCGCCTCGCCACTTGCCTAGCCCAGCAAGCTGAGCCTCCCCGGACACGCACAGTGGGCCTGAAAACCGGCAGAGCCGGCCAACATTCTAGACACATTTTGGGCTTTAGAGTCGCCAAATGAAACTCGAACCGAACGTGTGACCCCATGAACGGATTGCTCTCCGACAGAGGAAGCCATTGGTGGGGTCACACCGAGGGGGAAAGCACTCGCGTAATAGTCGGGTCACTCTATCCGTAATAGCACGCGTAATAGTGTGCGTAATAGTAGCGTAATAGCTGAAATTCTCAAAATTTGATCTATTTTACGGTTTTTTGGTCTGTTTTCAGCTAAATCGCTATATTTTGAGGCGTAATAGAGCGTCATAGGCGTAATAGTCGGGTCGCAGGTTTTAGGAGTGATTTCCCCCTCGGGTCACACGCTCGGTTAGACTCCAGTTTAGTGACTCTGGAACTCAAAACGCTTCAAGTGTTTTGGCCGCCTCCACCGGTCTTCTGGCCCACTGTGACACGCCGACCCACCGCCGTTTCAAGAAAGCCGAAACAACTGGACTGGCGAGGCTGACGACCAAATCCCGGCCGGCCGGCCTGCCAGATTACCATGTCGCTTGTTCGGCCGCACGCACATGGCGCCCCGCACACACAGAGCCTTCCCGTCCCTCTCGCACCCCTACGGGGAGACTCGCGAGCGCGACAGAGACAGAGCGACGAGGCGAAGGCAGGCAGGGCGACAGCGCGACAGCCACTTTTCTCAAGTTGACGCTTTCTAAGCCGCTCCGATGAGAAAGTCCGGGCGGGGCCGCAAGCGTGCGCGAGCTTAGGGCGGCTAAGGGGGCGACTCTACCTTTGGCGGGCAGACGCGGAACTTCCCCCGTGCGTCTGTCTGTCTGTCTGTCTGTCTGTCTGTCTGTCTGACTGTCTGTCTGTCTGTCTGTCTGTCTGTCTGTCTGTCTGTCTGTCCGTCCGTCTGTCCGTCCGTCCGTCCGTCCGTCCGTCCGTCCGCCTGACAGCCCGTCCGCCCACCGTCCGTCCCCACGGCGCTGTGACCCGCAGCAACGCGCAGCAGCGTCGGTCCGAGCCAACAGTCCAACACACAAGAGACAAATAAAAGTTGAGTTGCTGTTCTGGCTGTTGGCGTCGTCCTTTTCACCGCGTTAGACCCAATCCAGTGTGCGGGGCGCGGGGCGGCGCGGGGCCCCGGACAGCCTGGACACACGGTCCTCCTACGCCTCCCCGCCCGCTCCGCTCCGCCCTGGCCGCTCCTGGCCGCGCCGTCTCCAGGGACGGCCCTTCTTAATTGGACACGTTACAAACGACCGCAGCTGATTAATACGGTACAAGGGCCCGCCGCGGAAGGGCCAGGGGCCGCCAGGGCCGCCGCGCCGCGTCCCTCTTTCCCCGGCATCGCTTTGCAGTGCGGTGTCTCCAGCAATTGCCGTGTCCTGTTGGCATCTTCATTCCGCGACACGCCGGCACACAGTGCGGCAGGGCGCGGCGCCCTCGCCCCGTCTCCCTCGCACCCCGACGGGCCGCGCCGCGAGCGCGAGGGAGAGGGAGGCACGGCGGCGACTTCGGAATCAGCCCGCTGGCTGGACCTGGCGGCCGCACAGTGGGCCAGAAGACCGGTGGAGGCGGCCAAAATCCCGGGCGCGTTTCGAGTTCCAGAGTCGCTAAATGGGACTCGAACCGAACGTGACCCCACCAAAGAATTGCTCTCCGAACGAGGAATCCATTGGTGGGGTCACACGTTCGGTTCGGGGCCTGTTTAGCGACTCTGGAGCTCAAAACGCGTCTAGAGTTTAGTTCGCCCCCACCAGCCTTCTGGCCCACTGTGGGCCGCCCTCCGCCCCGCCGCCCCCGCCGCCCCGGCCACCACACAAAGTGACATTCTTTCTACACGTCCTAAACAAGCCGACCCCCGGCCGTCTAATTCGAGGCCGCGCAAAAGGAATACGCAATGCGAGGCCGAATTAGCGCTGCCGGCGGGGCGACCACGCGGCTTACACCACCTGCATACGTGAAATATGATGCACTGCCGCCACGACACCACGGCCCTGCAGGGACGCCCTGCCGGCCCTAAACGCCCCGTGTCCGCATCAACAGAGTCAGCCAGGCCGGGGTGCGTGTGTGTGCGTGTGCCTTACACGCGCAGGGCACGGCGCAGGGGAAGGGGAGGCCAGTCCTAATGGTTGCAGTCTGATTGATGGACCGGCGAGGAGACGCGATCTGATCGCGCCTCTGGGACCCCCTGGAGGCGCTGAAGGCCGCCGCGGCCGTGGCGGCCCTGGCGGCCCCGCTCCCGAACACGGGACGCGATTAGCCCACCGGGCGACTCAGTTAGACCGACCGTCAGAGCCAAGGGTGGCGGGCAGGGCAGGCAGGCCGTAGGAGGTATACGCCGGCAGCGCGTGCGGGGCGTGCAGAGGTAGGGAACTCCGGGATGCGAGTGATTTGGGGTGAGAACTTGCAAATAAGGTGCTTCGAATTTGGGGTACTTTGAATTGGAGGCACTTTGTACCGGTGGTACTTAGGAACAGGGGTACTAAGAAATGGAGGTTCTTTGGAGTGGGGGTATGTACTTTGAAATGGGGGTGCTTTGAACTGGGGGTACGGGGTTGCTTTGAAATGGGGGTACTTCGAAATGGAGGCACTTTGAACTGGGGGTACTTTGAAATGGGGGTACTTAGAATTGGGTCTACCTTGAAACGAAGTTCTTTGAAATGAGGTACTTCGTTAAAAATGAGACCAACGAAATGAGGAGTTGGTGGGCTCTCGGCATGGAGATGGAGGGAAGAGGGTAGGGTAGTGTTCCGAAGAAATACCCCCGCGCGGCGCAAGGTGGTCTTGGGGCCGAGACGCCTCGCGGAAGGACCTCGGCAGGACCGCGGAAGGAAGGGTTCTGGCGGGAAACGGCGCGGGAAATGGGAAATGGGGCGAGCCATGAGGGACGAGGGAGGCGAGACGCGGCCGCCGAGAGACAGACCAGGAGGCGACCGACCAAATTGTGGAAAATGGAGGGAAAATGTTGATGATGCCTCTAATAGAGTGAGATGTCTGCCCTGTTCAACTCATCTGTCAATGCCAGTAACTGCGAGGAGCACCGGCAGCGCGGCGGCCCCACCCCCATCACGGAGAGGAAGTGGCCGAGGAAAAGACGAGGAAGAAGACGGAACAGGGAGCCGCCACGCCACGCCACGGCCGCGCTCCGGAGAGGAGATTTAGGAACGCCAGCCGCCCCGCCCCGCCCCGCCCACGTCGCCAGGTGCAGCAGGTTCAAGCACAGTGCAGCGGGCGCGCGTGCAGCTCGATGCACCTGTCCGCCAGCACGGCCAGGGCGGCCAGGGCGGCCAGGGCGGCCAGCAAGGCCGAGCTGCCGGCGAAGGGGTGACGCGACTCGTAAACCTGTCGCCACCGCCGCGGCAGCGCCCGACAGAGCCCCGCCGACCCCCAAGACGGACGGCCGCGCCACCGGTCGCCAGAAGTCAAGCACCGCGGACTTTGACGGGGTCCACTCCACACGTCGGCGACGTCGTCGTCCTCCAGGGCCTCCCTGGTCTGCGGCGGGCGTAGCTAATGACAGGGCAAACGGCACTGTACTCCATCGCACGGAGAAAGGGGCGGGGCGGGGCGGGGCGGGGCGGGGCGGGGCGGGGCCGGGGAGGCGCACGGCTCTATTTCTCATGTGCAAGTAGCAGGACCAGACAGTGCGATAAGACGAGTCGGCCCGCCGCCAGCCCGCCGCGCCCGCCTCGCTCCGTCCTTGTCCGACACACGCGCGGCAGGGCCACGGCGGGGCCGACCCGCACGCCACCCTGCTACCATTAGCAAGGGTTGCAGGGGGCTGCGGGAGTACAATGTGGAATGGTGGCGGGATGGTAGCGAATTGGGAGCAGTACGGTGTGGGGATGGCGGCGGGATGGTAGCGAATTGGGAGCAGTACGGTGTGGGGATGGTGGCGGAATGGTAGCGGAGCATTGGCGTGGTAGTAGCGTGCGGCAGTAGCGATGGCAGACGGGGGATTGAGACGTGGCTCGGCGCTCGGCGCGGTGGGAGTGGTCGAAAACGGCCATCACTGTCCCGTCCTGCGCCGCCTGGCATCGGCCTGCTGCGTGCAAATGAGGCCCGAGTTGGCTGCCGCCGTGCTGCCGCCGTGCTGCCATTGGAGCACTGGGCCCGGCCCGACCGGCCTGACCCCGCCATAACTTGCATCGGCGCTTCCCACGTCCTCATTAGGACTTGGACCCGGTCGTAAACGTCCACTTGGTCGGCAGGGCCTGCATGGCGACGTCCCGGGCACGCCCCGCAGCTGCACTGTCCACACAGTCCACTGTCCGCGAATCGGGCCCCCGGTTGTGGCAGTGTAGCGTGCCAGTTGGGTTGCCTGCCCGCCGGGCGCACTCTCACACCAGGGGCCTCCCGCGGTCCAGACTTGAAGCTCCGTCTCGCGGATTTTCTTTACTTCAGACAACAAAGCCGCGCATGGCAGCGGCGGGGAAAGAGTAGAAAAAAGCGCGCCGGACCTAAGCCAGATGCTCCCCGTGCCGGGCCGTGCTCACGGAGGCCCCCTCCGCGGCCGGCCGCGCGCACCCGCACTTCCAAACACACCTGCCACCGCCTCAAATTTTTTTGGTGGGCAAGCTGGCGGCCTGGAGCACGCCCTGGAACGCAGGGAACGCGCCAGACTCACAGTGCCGGTTCTAGGAGCCTGGAGCACGCCGACTCTACAGTGCGCCCACTCCAAGTTCTAGGAGCCTGAAGCACGCCAGACTTCCCAGTTCTAGGACTGTACAGTACGCCAACTCCTAGTTCTAGGAGCCTGAAGCACACCAGACTTCCCAGTTCTAGGACTCTACAGTACGCCCATACCTAGACCCAGTTCTTGGAGCCTGGAGCACGCCAGACTCCCTAGTTCTGGGACTCTACTAGCCCGACTCCAAGTCCCATTTCTAGGAGCCCGGAGCACGCCAGGCTTCCTATAGTTCTCGGACGCTACAGCACGCCAGACTCGAGACTCCCCAGTCCCATTTCTAGGACTCTGGGGCACGCCAGGTCCCTGGTCTCAGTTCGAACCAGGACTCAGCACGGCCGGGGCCCGGCCGTGCGGGTCACGCACGCACGCGGACTCGGCCGAGGACTCGGATCACGTAATCGCGTTCCATTCAACATGCAGAGTGCCGCTAATCCAGCGCCGCGCCGCCCATGCCGCCCTTATCAGGACAGCGGGGCGCAGCGGGGACACTGGGAATGGGAAAGTGCCTCTAATCCCGCCGCCCCGACCCGCCCCGCCTCGCCGCCCGGACCACTAGGCCCAAGGCCGGCCCATGAACCACCAGGGAAGGCCCGCCGCCGCCAAAGCCATGCACAGCTCTGGCAGCAGCACCATGGACACCACCACCACGGTGACGGTGCACAGTGGGCCATAAGACCGGTGGAGGCGGTCAAAATGCCAGACGCGTTTTGAGCCTCAGCCAGAGTCACTAAATGGGACTCGAGCCGAACGTGCGACCCCCGACCCCACCAATGGATTACTCTCCGAACGATGAATGCATTGGAGGGGTCACACGTTCTGCTTGAACCCTGTTCAGCGACTCTGGAGCTCAAAACGCGTCTGGAGTTTGGGCCGCCTCCACCAGTCTTCTGGCCCACTGTGCGGTGGGTGACACTGCTCCAGGAGCGCGACACAATGTCACACTCGTGAGGGGAGGAATGTGCCCTCCCCCCTTTCCTCCCTTCCTTCGCGGCACGGCTCGGAAATGCGTCACATTCGCCATAAAACACAAGGCACAAAAACCTTCATAAGGAGCGCGACGCGACGACGCGACGCAGCGTGCGGTTTGAAGGGGGGAGGGGGGATGGGGGCTACTGGATTCTGGGCTGGCAGAGTGGCAGATACCGCGACGGGCGAGCACCAATTGATTTATGTGGCGAGCGGACGATCTCGTGAGGGAGGGGGACTGGAGGGAGGCTCCTAGGAGGACGACTCGGCCCACCGATACGAAGACCTTCTGCCCAAGGGCCACGCTGCGAAAGCACTCCAAGATCCTCGTGGCCCTTTCCGTTGCATTCATATTCTTACCCGATGAAGTTCCTCCATCGGTCGACAAACTCCTGAGACACGATGTAAAAGTCCTCTGTCCCTTCAACTGGCTGGATCGTGCCATTGATTGCTCTCGTCTTCCTGGAGGCTGGATCGAGGTTGGGCCGATTCTTGTTCAGGTACATGTCATTCAGGCGTTCTTTCTGCTGCTGAGCCACCCTGCGATGAGTGTCTTTCACAACTTGTCCCTCGTGCTCCTTCTCCTAAAATGCCGCCAATGTCAACAGATTGAAAAAAAAATGTCTCCAAGATACAGGTAAATTCACAAAAAAATTCTGAAAATTATAAAAAATTACCTGACAAATGCAGCACACATGAGAACTTCTAGGGAATTCCTTCGCATGGGGAAAATAGCTCAAAAATATAGCCCATATTTGAGGAGGGACAAGACGTCTACTTGATTCATCTATGTTTAATTCTCCTGCACAACAAAAAAAGAAACAATTAAGTCTCTGCCCTCTACTCATCTAACTTTCAAAGACATAGTTCAGACTAATCTTTCAAAGCATCAAAAAGTTTTTATAACTTACCATGGTCACAAATGGCATCATCATTAAATCCTAATGTATGGGAACCCTCATCAGCAAATTCTTCTTCTTTCTTTTCTTCTTTTATTTCTTCTGCAGAAGTAGGATTGTCTTCTTTACAGTCTGATTCAGCTTCACTGGAATATTTGGTAAATGGAAGCACTCGCATAGTTGCTTTGCCTACAGGAGCTGCTTTTCTTTTTTCTGATGAATCTTCAAATCCATTATGATGACTTGAAGAGACGGCATTTTCTTGAAGACTACCATTTTGGGAGGGGAGATCTTGATGAATTCGCTTGTGAGGAGGGGTTCTTGTAGAGTCTCTAGACTGTTGCTTAGTACGTTTTCTAGAGTTTTGTGGTTTAGATTCATCAGTTCCTTCCAAAGCCTCGTCCTCTGATGAATTTTGGTCCTTCACTTCTTTTTGATCATTTTCAGTTTTATCATTTTCTTCTTTACTTTCAGACTCTTCTTTCCAAGCGCCTAGAAAATCAAATCATAAAGATAATTCACAACTTAAATAATGCTTGTTATCTTATTTTGTTATTGAATGAGTTGTAACCAACCATCAGCATTTGAAGAAGGTCTGAGTTTTCGTAAAACAATACTCTTCCAACTTTTCAATGTATTTTTACCAACCCAATAACCCGGATCAGTCCTAAAACAATGAAGACAACATACAGGTTACTGTTTAAGGTAAGATAAAGAAAATAATTAAAACACATTGGTAAAAGTTCTTGACTTACTCATCCATTCGATATTTCAATAAATTGCTAATCTCTTTCCCATCTGAAGTTATTTTATTCTTTAATCGGAGCTCGGTGCATTTATTTACAACACAATCATGGCAAAGGACTTGAGGATACTGAAGCCTGGGGCCTCCCCCAAAATTTTTATACAAAGTGTCAGCCTGTTGAAAAGAGAAAGAGTAAATAAAGGGATGTAGCTTTCAGGAAAACATCAACTACACACACACTCACAGCGCCAACACTGATGGCCTTCATACTTGTGATCCGGGAAGGATCAACACGGCCATGAGGACACAATGCATTGCTGTTGTTGATGGGCCCCACTCTGGAGTCATCACCAAAGCCCTCATGGAGACATTTACTTAGCCAGTCAGTAGAAATAAAGTCAAATTCTTCGCTAGAGTCCACACACAATCTGCCAGAAAGCAGCAGCATCTCACTTCGATTAATTTGAGTTTGAACTTTATATGTTTCCTGCAACAGACAACAAAACAATTTATCATAGCAGAATTTAGTAGATAGAATTTAAAAATGAGTTGTCATGAACAGCAAGACTGAGTCTTACCCTCTTATCATTTTCTTCGGTAGTCCATTCTTCAAACTTGTGATTTTGTTCATTTACTCTATCTATCAGGCGTTTGGCAAGTCCCCATGCATTCATTTCATTTTCAAGTGCACTACTTTTGATGCCATGCCTCTCAACACCGTTTACTTTGGGGGAGGTCTGATTGTTTAGGGGAGTATTAACATCATCTTTACCAGTTGCCAAAGTGTAGACCAACATGTATGCATTTTTTGATGACACAAATCCTTTGGCACACTTCTGAGGACGACCTTTACCTTTAGATGAAGATACTGAAATTAAACAGATTTTTTATTTATTGTTTTGAAGAAAAAAAATCTTTTATGAATCATAATTAACTTTTGAAAGAGGCTACTTTGAAAAGGTGATGCAATTACAGACACTAACCTTCCGAGGCCTCGTCTTCAGACGTAAGCGTTAGTCTTTTTCCTTCCAAATTTTCCACACTTTCATCATTATATTTGTGCCAGTTACCAGTCACACTATCCCTGATGTGAGCTGCAAGAAACACACATATACATAAATCAATTTGAGATGAAAGAAGTATGTGCAGCAATAGTTCATTTGCAATGTCATCAGTTTTGACTACAAAAAAGGAAATGTAAAGACTTTCTCACCAACATAGTGTCCACTGTATGCACTTGACCCCATGTGAACAAGAACTGCACTAACATTGTAGACCTTAGACCCTGGTGCAAGTCCAAGAAATTCAGACATGTCTAGAACTTCTGGGAACTGTATGAATGAATTTAGTTTTTTCTTGTGCCCTTTGCTCCTGTAAATAGAATAAAATAAATGACACATCTATCTTAAAGCTGGATAACAAGTTACAAAAATCTACTTGCCCAATGACATTTAGGCCAAGGCAAAGGGTTTATTGGGTGAAAAAAAAACCTTACCTATCATAGACAAACCGCAAAAGCTGCAGGTGGAGGACAGGTGGGAGAGATTTAAGACGTATGCACCTTGTGGCATCTTGCTTGTCTCCACAGACAGCGCAATGGTATCTGTTAGCTCCCTCAAGCTTTTCTTCATGCAGGAATTCGGCCAAAGAATCACCTAATGTTTTGTGACCCTGAATACTTAAATCTAGTTCATAAAAATTAGAAGGTCTTGTCGACTCTGTATGACATTTTGAACATTTAGTGACATATTGATATTCTCCCCTAAAGTTCTTGCTTATCATGTCATGTACAGATGGTTTAGTTTGGGATGTCAGGCAATCCTCAAGCATTGAAATAAATAGCTTAGAAAACTCCTGAAAATAAGATACAAAAAATAATATGACTTATGGAGTTGTGATAAGTTGATATGATTTGGAAAGAAGAGACAACAATTACTTGAGCATCCTGTTGCTGGTTTGTATCAAGCCCCAATGAATGGACAAAATCAGATGGATCTATGTAGCGGCGAACACTGAACTGTAGATTAGCAAACAGGACTTGCAAGTGGCCAACATGAGTGACTGGGAACTTAGACTCATCTTCTTCAAGTGCTTCTCTTTCAGCAGGATCCTCTAGTGGGTCCCATTCATATATTGCTTTTCTGAAAGGAAGATAAGAACAATAAGAAGTTGTTTCCTTCTGTCTTGATAACTGAACAGCTGAAGGAAAAGTAAGAAGGAAGCTAAAAATAACAAAATTGAATATTGAACATAAAATACCTGAATTCAAGATTGTGGAACCATAACTGAAGAAGACTATTCACATAACAAGTGGCACCTAAATTTTTAAGTCCAATAAAAGAGCCAGAATCTCTTCTGTCAATATTTGGATCATCTACATAGCTTGAATTACTTTCATCACTGGGTTCTGTATTCCATCGCTGTTCTCCTAGCCCTGAGAGGCATCGAGGGCTTCCTCGACAATTGCGTCTGAAAGAAAAACTCCAATTAGTATGAATACAAAAATATCTGCACAAAAATTCTCTTTAACTGTAGTACCACAACAAATAAAAATGTTAAATAGTTACCGGCAGGTCCCAGGACGACATTCAGGCAATTGAATGCGATAAGCTGTTAAAACATGTTCTGGTAACACAGAATCAGGCTCAGTGCTGTCGACCCAAGCCCAAGCTGCTTTATCGAGGACATCCTTGCGCATAGGCCCCATGACTTACGAACAGCTGAAAAACAATCAAATAAGCCATGGGCCTTAGAAAAATAGCGGAGCACAAGTGGAGTAATGGCAAGTGACAATACGGAGGACACACACAAAACATCAGGATTAAGTTCCAAACAAATCAAGGATATCAGAATCGAAGATATGGAAGCAAATCTCTAGTTGTTGCTGTCTCAGGCACAATAACATAACCCTAACACAAACGCAAAGTGAACATGGTAAGATTAAATATGTGACACCTCGTTACTGTACAGGTATATTTTGATCCATTTTAATCACTTATAAAATTTCGATTCCAATGCAACGTTTAAATTGACGGTACTTTGCCGAAAAATTGCAATAACACGTACATCCAGCCGGGACAGAGATGGACGCAAAACATAACAAACGACTTCCACAACGAAAATTCGCCTACGCAGGGGTAAATTAAGACACGTATAAAATAGTTTCATGACCTAGAATTGTAAGAAATGGTGTCCAAGCCACTCAAACAATCGATGTGTGTAATAAATCGCCATTAAATGTACCTTCTGACATCTGAAACACCGAATCCAAAACTAAAATTCGCAGGAAAAGGGGACAGGCGAGGAGAGGGGGGTGGCGCGGCGTTCGTCTTTTGAAAATCGGCTATGAGAATTTCGTCCGGGAGAGGAAGTGGGGAGGGAATTTGAGGGGGAGGGAAGCAAGCGATTTTGGAGAAACAGAACGAAGAGTCGAGAGCAAACGAATCAGTGCAGCTGCTTCTGATTTTACTCATCAATCAAAAACAACTTGGCATCATAATCAACTGATTAAGATCGCGGATCGCGGATCATCACATCCGGTCCATCTCTTCAAACCTATTCAAACCGTGTATCTTGATTGGGCAGGTTCATTCTTGTCCGGCTGGGTGAACCAATCAGGAAGTAGCATGCAGGGAACGTCATATGTCATACATGCCTGCCTTGCCTGCCCGTGGTAAACACTCTAGACCTAGATGGTGAGCAGCACATTGCATTTCTAAGGCATAAACATCGCTTGGAGGATTTGATTGTTCACGGGCGGTACTGTGTATTGCTGGTAAGTTCACAGGTGATTGCCATGTCATCTTTCTGTGCCATTCACGTTCACCCCTCTTGTACTCCTTGTTTTGCAAATTTCATCATGCAGGTTATGTTTGTGTCTATTGGACTATGTCTATTTATCGATTGCTCTTGTAACTCTAAGAAACGCCTTGCAAGACTCATGAAAATATTTATTGGGTTCTTTTAATTCACCATGCTCTTCGTGTATCCTTATTTATCTGTTTGTTAATGTACGCTTGCATGTCATATTGATTGTCTCAATGAATGGCAATCTGTAGTCTTAACTATGTGTCCTCTTCTCTGTTTTAGATTCATTTCTCTTGCGATGACGACTTAAGATCAAGGAACTAAATGGACCAAATGAAAAAGGCTCTTGGTCCAGTGCGAAAAATGGCCAAACGTTTGTCTGGTGATCATCTTGGTGAGTCAGGTGTGGGGCCTGTCATTGCCAACGCCTACTCAAAACTGAAGAATGAGTGCATAAAGGTACTTGGTGACTCGCCCAAACCTTTGGTTGTTGAAAAGGTGGGCGTAAAATACTTGCCAAACCCGCACAAATCACCAAATGACAAGAAAGAGCACAGAGTCATCTTGCTACCAAATGGATTGACTGCCCTCCTTATATCTGATGTAAACCATTTAGTATCTCTTGATCCTGCGGATTGCTCTTTAGAAAAGGTTGCTGATGAAGCTGACTCTGGAGATGAAGAGATGAGTGAAGACGGAGAAGAAGAGGAGGAGTCAGAGAGTGACATGGATGATACTGAAGAAGAAGAAGGAGCAGGAGCGGGAAAAAGATCTGGCGCACCAGAAGAGAAGCTTGCTGCTGTTGCCCTGACTGTTGGTGTCGGTAGCTTTAGTGACCCGCCTAACATTCCCGGTCTTGCTCATTTTTTGGAGCACATGGTTTTCATGGGTAGTGAGAAATTTGCAGGAGAAAATGATTTTGATGACTTTGTGAAGAGGCATGGCGGGTATGACAATGCATCAACTGAATGTGAGGCAACAAATTTCTATTTTGAGTGCCAAGAAAAGAGACTGCTTCGCACTATGGATATGTTTGCACAGTTCTTCATAGCTCCTTTGATGAAGAGAGAAGCCATGACAAGAGAACGAGAAGCAATTGAGTCAGAATTCCAAATGGCAGTAACATCTGATACCTATAGGAAGCAGCAACTCATAGCCCAAATGGCATTTCCTCATCACCCAGCCACGACATTTACTTGGGGCAATTTGAAAACCCTACGTGACAATGTTTCAGATGATGAGTTGTACGATGCTGTGCACAAATTTAGAAACCGGCATTACTCAGCTCACAGAATGACTGTAGCTGTCCAAGCCAGATTGCCTCTTGATTTGCTTGAAGATTGGGTGTATGCTTGCTTCTCTCCTATTCCAACCAATTACTTACCTTCTGATGATTTCACATTATTCCCAAACCCAGCCTTTGATCAGGATCGGTTCTGCAAAATTTACACTGTAAATCCTGTGAAAGACGTTTGCACAATGGACCTGACTTGGTACATGCCTGCATTGCGTCACCACTATAAAGTTAAACCAACTGAGTATTTGAGTTGGTTTCTTGGACATGAAGGTAAAGGAAGCCTTCTTTCCTTGTTAAGACAGAAAGTGTGGGCCTTGGAAATAACCAGCGGAGTAACTGACAGTGACTTTGATCATAATTCACTGTATTGCCTTTTCACTATAACGCTGTCTCTAACTGAAGCAGGCTTAAGGAATATACCTCATGTCATTGAGGCAGTTTTTGGGTATATAAAGATGCTTAAGGAGAAAGGACCTCAGGAGTGGTTGTACCGGGAAATGCAATCTATGGAAGATGCCCGTTTCAGATTTGAGGAGGAAGCTTCGGCAGGAGATTATGTAGAATGGCTGAGTGGAACCATGCAATTGTATCCACCTCAAGATTATATTACTGGAGAAGACTTATTCCTTGACTACAATCCTGAAATAATCACTGAGTGCATGAACTATTTCACATTAGACAATATGAATGTTATGATCTGTACCAAGAAACCACTCGATGGTGTTGAATTTGACCAGACTGAACCATGGTTTGGTTCGCAGTATAATATGAGGAAGATCCCAAGTGAATGGCTTGAGTTGTGGAGGAATGTTGTGTCAGACCCAAGTTTCTCTCTCCCTGAGCCAAATCAATTTATTACAACAGATTTCAGTCTACTACCCATCAGTGAAAGTGCTCTGGAACAGAAAGCACCAGAAAAAATTTTGGATAATGAATATTTGGAGCTCTATTATAGACAAGACACAAAGTTCAGACTACCAACTTCTTACCTGTACATTGAGTTGGTGTCGCCATTAAATACTCAAAGCCCCTACCATACTGTATTGATGGATATGTTCTTGATAACTGTCAAACAGCAGATGGGTGAAAGTTTATATCCAGCTCGTTTGGCTCAGCTATCTTATACAACTATTCCAAATGACCGTGGACTGAGTATCAGGTGCTGGGGTTTTAATCAAAAAATTCCAATGCTCCTTAATGCTATTATAAGTGCCTTTTGCAAGTTCAAGGAGAATTTAAATCCTGTGATGTTCTCTGCTGTCAAAGAGGAAGTCAGGAAAAGTTATTACAACTCTCTTCTCAGACCTGAGAAACTAGGAAAAGATGTTCGAATGTCCTTGCTTCTCCAAACATTTTGGACCCAATGTGATAGGTACAATACCGTGAATGATGTAACAATGGAAGATGTAGCTGCCTTTGCTGATAAGTTTTTAAGCCAGTTATATGTCCAATGTCTAGTCCAGGGTAATATATCAAAGGAGGATGCCCTCCAAGTTTGTTCAAATATTGTGAATGCTTTGAAATGTGAACCACTTCCACCAGAACTCTTCCCTCAAACAAGAGTCATGGAGATTCCCCATGGAGAAATGTGCTGCAGAGTAAAGTCATTCAACAAGACTGATACTAATTGTGTCACAACAAACTACTACCAGTCAGGCAAAGCTACAATTCGGGATGTCTGCATCGCTGAGATGGTGGTGATGTTACTGGAAGAGCCCCTTTTCAACATCTTGCGTACAAAGGAGCAACTAGGCTATGATGTCTCAGCCCTTACTCGAGACACATTTGGTAAGTTTTTAATTTTTCTAAAATCAAGAACATGAGAATACTTTTTGAAAAAATTCTCTGTTATTAATAATTTTTTGATTTTTTTTTTTTTTTTTTTTTCAGGAATCCTTGGATTTTCTATTACAGTAGTATCCCAATTTGATAGATTTTCTGTTGACCATGTTGACTCAAGAATAGAAGCTTTCTTGCAAACTTTTATGAAGGAACTCAAAAAGTTGAAATCTCCTGACTTTGATGAAGTTCTACAGTCTCTCATCAAACTAAAGCAATGTACTGATCTCCATCTTAAAGAAGAAGTTGATAGAAATTGGGAAGAAATGTTGAATCAGGAGTATATATTTGATCGAAAGAGAAGGGAAGTAGAGTTCTTGAAAGATTTGAAGCCTGCTGTTGTAAGTAAATGGTTTAATTCTCATGTAGCATGTGGAAACAAGTCAAACTTCCGAAAACTTTCTGTCCAAGTTGAAGGTTTTAGCAAATCCACCAAGGATGATACTGATTTTGATGAAAATAATATGTCAAATGACCTTGAAGTTCAAATTGAAGAAGAAGCTGAATGTTTAAGTGGGATGAGGCAAGTGCCAGACAAATTTGAATTACAATTCATCAACTCGAGCAGCATGCATTCTAAGGAATACTTCATCACTGACATTAATGCTTACAAAAAAAATCTCTGTGTCTACCCACCTCATAAAGTTGTCGCTTAAAGAGATAAAGAACTGCCACCATTCATCCAACTGTATTTTGCCTTGGTCATAGCAACTTTTTCTGGAAATTACTTTGAAGTGACTGTTTTATTTTGGTGTGATTAATTCATTGGTTTTGAGCACTTTGCAGACTTTGATTCAGTTTTTCACTATCTTTAAATATTGTTTAAAATTTACTGTTGATGTTAGAAGTTTTCCCCATATGATTTGAAGCGTCTTTTTGGATCAATTTAAATCAAGTGTAAGTCAATATTGCAGCACTTTGTGATTTCACTTTGTACTTTCTTGCCTTTTTGGAGGTCTTCTGACATGAAGCCCTCATGTTTTGGAGACAGCATTTTGAAATTGTTAAAAATTGTATCTCTTTGCATTTGTTGTTATATTTTATACTATTCAATCAAACTTTGCCATGTACATTTGTATGGAATTTCTGCAAGTTAAAGCTTGTCTATTGTATTTGAATATTTCTTATTTTATAATAATTTATTGCATTGGAAGATTAAAAGAAACTGTCCATAGTAGGTGTTGATTTCTTGGTTGTTGATCTATTTGGACACTTCAGTGTCCCAATCCAACTGTGACTCATCATCAGTTAGAGCTGATTCCACAGAATCTATGGATTCCATTTTATTGGCCTGTAGATAGAATTTTAAGAAGCAAAATGAGGATCAGCCTATACTAATAAGACACTTAAGACGACGAACTGCAGTACCTGAATCATAGAAGGGTCATGATGTGATCCTAAGACCTGAGTCAGTGTGGAGACATCACAAGACTCTTGCTCCATGTTTGGCCTGGGAATAAAAGACAGTTGGCGTGCTGACATATTCATGTTGAAAGTAATCCAAATGTCTCCACAAACTTACAGTTTAGAATCTATGTTCACTGACTGGTCAGGAACTGGTTTGTGACAACCAGCATTGGACTTGTTGGCACCATCATCATTCTGCACTTGGATGGGATTCTTAATTTTTTTCTCAGTTGCATTTGGGCCTCTCAACTTAAGCCGGGAGTAAATAACTTCTTGAGCATCCCTGTTGTGCGTTACCTGCAAATCACCACTGCATTTAACCTGTCTCAGCAATGTGCGAGGGCCCATTTCAAAAACCCCTGATACGAACCCCGAGCAGTAGATAGCACTCCTTCCGAAAATCTGGATTGAGGCTTTGCCTAATCACAGCAGCTAAGGATGCAGAGACCATAGCATGATTATCCATCTTGAACCAAACTAGGGTCACTCTTTCAATCTCAACAGGACGGCGATGAATTTTGAAAAATTGACATGTGTAGCTCACACGGTGACCAACCGTGACCAACGGTGACCGGAGGTCAAAAAAGAAAGCCGGAAGCCGCCGGCCCGCCGGAAGCAAAAGCAAACATAAAGCATAAAGGTGCCCGACGATTTACCCGTTTTTGGGGGGCAAAAACGAGGCATGCAAAAATTTTAATGATCAGTTCATAGAAATGCTAGTTAATTATAGTGGAATGGGGACAAAAAATTTCAGTGACATGAAAATTGTCCAAAAAGGAGATGGTCTGACTGTATTGGCCGGGCTGCTACGCAGCTCCCACTCCCGGGCGCGATCCCACGACTGCAGACCGCGGGGACTTTTGGCTGCTGGGTTACCCCTCTGGCCCGGTTCGCCCCTCATTATGCAACCTGGCCTCCTCGGACTCCTCCAAGGAAGCCATGTTGACGGCCAGCTTCGTGCGGACGCCCAGTCAACATGACTCACTACGCAGCAGGGCTCCCAGCCTCAAACCATCCGCATCTCCCGGCCTCCAGGTAGCTGGATTACAGGAGTACGCCACGACTCCCAGCCGTCAGGGAATGTGCGAGGTTGAAGTGTGTACCTACGGGTCGTGGTTCGACACCCGCCAGTGCCGTTACCCCCTCTCCGCGCTTTTTGAGGGTTCACGCTGCCAACCTTTGCAATGGGAGGGACGGATTACATCTACTCGTGCAGTCGGCCTCAGAAGTGGCACTGTCACCCGAGCTGTCACCTTTGTTCCTAGATCGGTAGAAATTTAAGACTAAACTTTACACGACTCTCTGTAGTGACCCCTCGATATTGAATTCACACTCAAAAAGTAGAGTGTTGGGTTGGCTGCAGCATCTGCGAATAAACACTTCCCCAAAGTTCTTCTGCTTTCTTATTTATTTATTTATTTTATGTTCCTGAATAAATTTGTGAAATATTTACAATTTTCTGCCCAATGCCTACGAGAGCAGAAATCCCTCGAGTACTCTGTAATGCCTACGAGCAGCGGTGGACCGATGACCTTCCAGTATGTCGGCTTTCTGGTAAGCTTGTCCCAGGGTTAGCACGTCCAAATTATCACTTTTTCTTTTAATAAGGGCTTTTGGAAATTGTTTAATTGTTTTTTACATTAGTCATTATTCTTGCTCAGGAGTTGGTTCAGCAACAAACCAGCTCTACCGAGAAGATGGAATGCGTCAGGAAGAACACCCTTGTGAAGACCACAGTTTCCATGTTCGGATAGACAATGATACTTACCTCTATGCTATATTTGATGGCCATGAGGGTGGTGAGGCTGCTCAATTTGCATTGCAAAGAATGGCTTATGAAATTCTTTTTGGAAAGCTAGAGGGAAAATCGACAGACGAAGAAATTAAAGAGGTTCTGAGGTAAGCTGACTGCCGATATGTGTGACAACTATGTGAAGTAATGCAGCTTTGATTTTATATATATTTTTGCTTTACCAGACAAGCCTTTTTAGCTGTGGAGGAAAGTTACATGGCTTCTATTGATGATCGCCTTGCTGAGAGAGCTAAACTACAAATGGACATTCCAGATGACTTATCAGAATATGAAGCATACAAAAAATACCCTCACCTGGTGAGTTCTACATTTTGAAATAAATAACATAATATGTTCAGTGCATTTCGATAAATGCCGAAGATTAACATGCGTTATTTATGCTCAGGTTGACCGCTTAAAAACATTGAATGGTGAACTTTCTTGTGGCACAACTGCTGTGGTTGCTTTGGTGTGTGGAGGACGTCTATTTGTAGCTAATGTTGGTGAATGCCGTGCCTTATTATGCCGCACTGATAAAGACGGTGTGCTCAGGGTCTTGCAGTTGAGTGTGGATCACAATCTCTCTAATGAAGACGAACTCCTCAGACTGCAACAATTAGGACTTGATCTAGACAGAATCAAGCAAGGTATGAAATACAGTATTTTGTGTAACCCAGATTTAACCATTCTTTTGAATCTACCAATTGTTTTTGAGATATTTGCTGACCTTACATAATTTTCCTTAGAACACCGTCTTGGAAACCAAGAGAACTCTCGTTGTTTAGGAAATTATCTTGTTAAAGGCGGCTACAAAGAAATAGAGGAACTTGCATCTGCAATGTCAGAACCAGTTATTGCAGAGCCAGAAGTTCATGGTGGCATTCCTTTGGACGAAAACTGCAGGTACAGTATTAAGTGCTATACTCTTGTAAAATTGGAGCTAGCTATTGCACAATTAATTTTTTATATCTTAAAAATAAATTTATTTGCTCTTAGGTTTTTGATGTTGATGTCTGACGGAGTCTACAAATCCTTAGAAAGTGCAACTAGAACTGATCAAGTCAACAAGGTACTTGCAGAAATGGCTGTAGTTGAGGTAAGTTTTAGATCCAAAAGGTTTAAAACCAATTATATTTCATATAAAAATTAAAAAAGGTTCTCCCTGCAGTTCCGGAACCAATCTACACTTACAAGCGTCGCTCAGGGAGTTATAGACAGGATTGGAAGAATTCATCATGATGTTTTTATGAGTGATAATATGAGTAGAGAGATTGTGTCCCCTCGTTCAGGTAAGAAACTTGTCATTTTCAAAATTTTCTCAGCCTCTGACAATTAGGGATACAAGTTTTAATAGTATCTTAATTTAGGTTGCACCAAAGGAAAACGAGATGATATGACACTCCTCATCAGAAAATTCAACTTTGACATACCAAATGCAGTTAGTCCAACACCATTCGAAGTACCCAATTATGAAAGAGTAGCAAGCAACGGTGAGGCTAAAATTAACTATCAGACCTCAATTTGGTGTTGACATACACTGTTCAAATTTTAAAGACATGCCCATTTCTGTTTACAGGTAGTGCTTCAGAGACTTTGAATCCTAGTGAGCTCCCCTCTGGCAGCACCTTACAGAATAGTTTCTCTACTGTAGATGAAACTTATAGAGATACTTCACGAACTAACGACACAAATACAACTGAGGATAGCTCATCCGATGCTATGTTTTCTCAAGCTATTTTTTCTACTCCTGCTCCAATTTTACCTTATGTTGACTTTTCAGAGTATTATGCAAATGTGGAACATGCTCGTCAGGAGGGGACTTTACCAGAGGGAATCAATTTTTAGTACTTACACTTACTTGTGTATATTTCTGTGATCTATATTTTGCTTTAGCAATCAAGTCATTGACATTTTTAAAAAATATATTTATTTTAAAATATTAATTTTAATTTTGGAACTTGAACTTTGTGTGTAATGCATGATTTGTTTTACCTGCCTTGTTATTTTAAAGGAGCTACTTTTTAAAATCTTTTAGTTTTACCAAAGCACAAGAGACTAATGACTTGTGAGTATGACATTCTAATAAAATGACGCAATATTTTATTTGGATAGATACTATACTACCTATACTGTTTCTAACTATGACTTTCTGGCGGCACAATGTAGACGACTTCAGTCATTGTGAGTGTTTCAACCTGTGATGTGCATTTGAGGAAGTGGTCAATAATCAAACAAGATGTCAAGTTCTGTTTGTTTTCCTCTTTTTTCGTCCTTTTTTCAATGCTTTGTTCCCGTTACAGCCTCACGAGCCTGAAGAGCTCGGCCGAGTAGGGTTCTGGCTCTGGCAGTATCGGCAGTTCGTAGGCCGGTCGCGGCGGTGCCTCCCACTCCCACATCAGGTCCCCGGGGTCGTGGGGCGCGGGGCGGCCTTGGTACATGTAGCGGGGCGGCGAGATCTGGAAACCGGGTGCCAGAGCGAACGACATGGACATCCCTCTGGAAGAGAGGTAGGGGCTTTGAGTGTCCGCAGCTAGCCTGCTTACCGGGGGGATGATGTCGTCCTCCTCCGGGTCGGGCAGCAGGGGCTGTGGGGGAGGCTCGGGCTCCCAGCTGGCCTCCTCGTTGTACATGGCCTCGGGCGGCTCGATGTCGCTCACCTCGCCCCCGTACTGTGACATCGTGTAGGCACACGCGCGGCGTCAGAAACACGACCATTCCCTCTCACCTTGGAGCTGCCTGCCGCGGCACGGACCTCTTGGTAGCTGGGGAAGGACGGTGGCGAGGGGGGCGTGGGCGGGGCGTAGGGGTTGAAGCCGGGGCTGAAGCCGGGGACGAAACCAGGGCTGTGGACAGGACTGTGGACAGGACTGCGGACAGGAGTGGACGGCGTCGAGAAGGATCCCTGGAATGTGTTGGGAGCCCCGGTGGCGGCGCTGGGCGGATACTCCTCGATGTTCATGGACATCTGCAGGCGGTAGGGCTGCTGCATGTCGGCGGGCTCGATGTCTGGGAGCTCCTCGTCTGGCATCTCTACATTCCACAGGTCCGCCTCCGCTCTGCCGACAGAGAAGTTGAGCGACTTATCAGAATCGAACCCTCACTCAATCAACACGCTACTGCGACCGGCCTGCACGACGGACCTGCGCGCTGCTTTCTCGTCGAAGGGGTCTGGCGGCAGGCCTCTGAGCATGCGCTGCAGACGGAACGCCTCCTTGTCGTTGCGGCCCTGGAGGTACTGCAGGTAGGCCTGCTTGGCCTTCTCCACGCGGTTCTCGTTCTCGATGCGCTCGCGCTCGGCCTGGGCCTGCGCCTCCGCCGCCGCCGCCATGGGGTCGTAGCCCTGCAGGGCGCAAGCGCGCAAGGGCAAGCGGTTGGATGTGGACCGATGTGGACGCGTCGGACGAGCGGCGCGATGCCGCGGTGCGCGGTCTCTCTCTCTCTCTCGCCCGTACAGCGAGTGCGAGAGAGACAGGATCGACAGCCGCACTGCATTGGCCCGCGCTTGCTTACCCCGCCGCCGGGGACGAGGGAGCGCGGCGCCGGCACCACCACGACCATGGTCTCGTCGGCGTGCACCGTGCCGGGCGGGATGATGACGCGCTGCGCCTGCTCCAGCGGGCTGGCGGGCGGCACGTCCAGCACCGTGGTGTCGTTCTCGTCCACCGCGCCCGCCGGGATGATGACCTGTCGGGGCCGCGGCGGCGACCCCGGCGGCGCCTGCGGCCCCACGGCCATGGCGGTCAGCGTCCGCCGGCCGCGCGTCCCGCCCCTGTTCTGCACCGCCACGGAGGTGTTGAGCTGCTCCGGGGCGCCGCGCTGCAGGGCCGCCGCACTGCGCGGCCGAACCGTGGGCCCGGGGCGGCGTGCTGTGAGTCGCCAAACACGAGGGGAATGTACTCACGACCCGACTTCTCCCCACAACGCTTCATTCCCATGTTTTATTTCGCCTGAAAATGTCGACGTTTTCTTGGAACATGTTATCCGACTATTGCGCGAACGTATGCCCGCTGGGAAAGAGGGTGAATCAAATGCTTTGTGAAGTGAAAACCGTCCTGCAGATGATGTACCTGCTGGCGCGGCCCTGGCTCGCGACGGCCCGGCGGCAGGGGCGGCGCGGCGGCCTGGGGGTGGCGGTGGTGCTCCCCTGGCCCTGCTGGTGCTGGGGGCGGCGCTGGGGGCGGGGCCGGCGTCGAAGAACGGGTCCCTCATGAGCGTGCCCGCGGCGTTGCGCACCATGGGCGCGGACACGGGGCGCGCGACGGCCGAGCGCGGGGCAGGCGCTCGTCCCGCCCTGTGCAAGCGGCCCCTTAGTCCCGCAGTGCGGACACTCGCGAGAGAACCTCCCTGAGACTGGCGACTTACGCCGGAGCGCCCCCCGCGGCTGTTCGTCGGGGCGCGGCGCCCGCGGCCGCTGCTCTGCCACCGCCATCCCTCCGCGTCCCCTGCTGCAAGTGTCCAAAGTGCCCCCAGAGAGTACAGAGGTGCCGAGGGCGTTCGCGTCTGGCGGTTCAATCGTGTCTCATCGCTGGCGACGTACTGGTGCGAGTGGGCGGGGGACTCGGGGCTGGCTGGCCGCGGCCTGGGGGCCCTGCTGCACATTGGACCTGCTCTGCGGCCGGCTGACGGGAGGCCGGCCCGGAGGCCGGAACCCGTGATCGTCAGGGATGCGCGCGCGCCACGCCATGCTCCGGCCTCATGTAGTGCCTTCCCTGCCCCCGCGTCCGCGCCGCCCCTCCGCCTGCGGCCTCCCCGTCGTCGCCGTCGTCGCCGTCGTGTCCACGGCCAGGTGTTGTCGTCGGGCTGCCGCCGCTACCGCGCGCCGCCCCTGCGGGCCGAGGCTAGGCGCCGCCGCCGCCAAGGAGTGGGCGCCGCACCTGCCAGGCAGACGCGCGCACGCCGCCGCCGGGCCATTCAGAGGAGCGGTTTATCGTTCTGTCTCTCTCGCACCCTTATGGACAGCCCCTTGAGTGCGACAGAGACAGAACGTCGAAAAATGACTCTGGATTGCTCGGCAGACGCATGGCGCTTCGGAACCGAAGCGGCCCGGGCCTGCGCGCCACTCCCGCACTCACCGCGACGGTGGGCATGGCGTGGCGGGGCGGGGTGCGGCGTGGGGCCGCGGGTGGAGGGCGGCGGGCTGGCCGTCGTGCACGGCAGTGCACAGTCGGCGCGGGCCTCGTGTCTCGCGGCAACGCGGGCCTCGCCTCGGCCTCGCCGGTGCCATTGTCGGGCTGCCTCCGGTTGGCGGTAATAATCGTAATACCGAGATGCAAACGCACGGCATGCGTTGGTGCACGTGGATCAGAATTAAAGTTGCTGTTTCTGCGCCACGATTCCCTCCCAACTCAACGAGTAAGACGATAACCGTGACTCGAACAGAAGTACCCGAGATATCGAGCGACCCTCCCCGCTGGGGAGTCGGGACGAGTCGGGAGGGAAGCCCCGCGCACAGTGGGCCAGAAGACCGGTGGAGGCGGCCAAAACTCTCGACGCGTTTTGAGCTCCAGAGTCGCTAAACAGGGCTCGAACCGAGCGTGTGACCCCATCAATGGATTCCTCGTTCGAAGAGCAATCTATTGGTGGGGTCACACGTTCGGTTCGAGTCCCATTTAGCGACTCTGGAGCCCAAAACGCGTCTAGAGTTTTGGCCGCCTCCACCGGTCTTCTGGCCCACTGTGCCGCGCCCCGCCGGCGTTGGCGCGCGTTGCCGCCGGTCGTTCGGCACGGTCCACCGCGTCCTCCGCGAAGACATGGGCCAGCGCGGCGCAGGGCTCCAGCCCGAACGGCGCTCTGTCTCTCTCGCACTCGAGGGGCGTTGCGTAGGTGTGCGAGAGGGACAGCGCTGTTGGGAATCGAGCTGCCGGGCACGGCGGCCGCTCGGCGTTGTGACACGGGCTGGATAGAGTCCCACTGCTAGACTGGACGCCGCATGCGCGTTGCGACAAGCCTAAACGGACTCCTCCAGTGCTGCACCGCGGGCATAACGGATCAGGCTTCGGCTTCTCTCTCTCAGACTTGCTCGGACTGTTGGGATGAGCCGAGCTGAATTTCTCATGACCGCGCTCGTTTTGAGGCGCACACGCGCGTGGCCGAGTCCAGCGTCATGAAATAAATATCGCCTCGATCCAGCGCGGCTGCCAAATTAATGTGACGATGGAACTGGTTCCGACAACGGCTGGGCATCGCCTGCCCTCCCCACCGAGTATATCACTGTCCATTTTATAGCCGCCGGCCTTCTTCGAATGAATTCGCCTTCTACTTTCTACACTCTTGCTCGAGGATCGCGAGTCTTGCAGACTTCGCCTCATCTGCTAATCGAACCATGCCCAAATCAGACCCAATTTCAACCATCTTCAACCCACCTGCACCACGGCAACCATGCGGTGACCGTCCGCTGCCCCTTTTTGCCTTGGAATAAAAATAATAATAATCCGAGTCTCTGCTCTCTGTCGTGAGGTATTAATGCCGTAACAGCTGCGCGTATGTGTAACACTTCACGCCCGAGTTGCCAGGCTGTGCCAGGCCCGAATGCGCGCGGCTTGTGATGTGCCCTCGCGATACGAGCTGGGCCGGCCTGCTGGCCGACATTTGCAACGTCTCCGTCAACGGGAGACGGGGACACACAAATCGAATGTACACTGAAAACGTAAGTGTGTACTGAGTACACATAAAGAGCACTAAAGCACTTTAAATGTGCTGGGTACACAGTTAGGTTTTCAGTATAGGTAGACGCTGGGGAGGTGGTATGTAATGAAAATCAAATATGGATGGTTTAAATGATTTTATTTTTTCGATGATGACAATGATGCGCGAGGTCTAACAGGGGTTTTTGACTTTTTTTTTGGCATAAAGTCTTGAACTAAATTACCAGCTGAGGCCGTGGCTGCCGTGTCCGTAGCTGGAGCCGTACATAGAGCCGTAGCTGGAACCAAGGTCGTAGCTGGGCATGGAGTAGCTCATCGCTGGAGCGGCGTAGCTGGAGAAGCTGGGGGCGGAGTAGCTGGAAGAGCTCAGGGCGGGGTAGCTGGAGAAGCTGGGGGCGGAGTAGCTGGACACGCTGGGGGCGGAGTAGCTGGAGAAGCTAGGTGCAGAATAGCTGGAGGAGCTCAGGGTGGGGGCAGAGTAGCTGGTGAAGCTCGGGGCAGAGTAGCTGGAGACGCTGGGGGCGGAGTAGCTGGAGAAGCTAGGTGCAGAATAGCTGGAGGAGCTCAGGGTGGGGGCAGAGTAGCTGGAGACGCTGGGGGCAGAGAAGCTGGAGGCACCCAGAGATGGGGCGGCGTAGCTGGAGAAGCTCATCTGGGCGGGGGCTGAATAGCTGGAGAAACTGGGAGCAGAGTAGCTGGAGAAGCTGGGGGCAGAGTAGCTCGCGGAGCTCAAGGCGGGGGCAGAGTAGCTGGAGACGCTGGGGGCGGAGAAGCTGGGAGCGGAGTAGCTGGACACGCTGGGGGCAGAGTAGCTGGAGACACTGGGGACGGAGTAGCTGGAGACCACTGCAAAAAAAATCCATCTTAATTTTAAGAAACTAGTTTGTGAAGCAGTTTACAAAGATTTTTTGCTATTAAAAGTAAGAAACTTTCTCCTCTTAAAACTAATGACCAAGTTTTTAAAATTCATAGATCATGGTTTATTAAAATTCATAAACATTTGACTAAAGTGGGAGAAAAGAACTTCTATATTGACGTCCGATTTCGAGTGTGGATGTCAGAATTCTGAAATGCATCTTACATCGTGTCACATAACAGTATCGGTTGTCAAAAATTAGTCGGAGCACGAAGACCTTAGATTTGTATGACTTCCATCTTCCGACTGTGCCTCAGCGGAGGAGGTGCCTGGACCTAACCTAATGGCCGACAGCAGACGCCAGCGAGTGGCAACATGGTTATGCGTTTTACTCAACTCCAGTGGAATATTTTGTTAAAAAATTTCAGCTAGCGGCTAGAGAAGACATTTACTAAGGCAACAGATGGTATCATTTGGCAAAAGAAGTTTTTTTAGACATACAAATAGGAAATACTTATTCGGGAACGGACACGGCGCTCTAAGCGCCACCTAGCGGCAGGTCTGTGAAACCTGACCTTGAACCCAGCGGCTGACTGTGGGCCATACCGTGTGAGAAGTGGCTTGTCGACAGTTTGCGTGAAGTAATCAAACTAAACCTTCGGTTTACGTTGAATGTTACAGCTATCACTGAAGCGTTCAACTTTAACTTCAATCAGTTAGTTTCAGAAATCTGGTTATGAAAAGTCATCAGTCATGAGGATTTTAAGAAACCAATTTTTACTTTTGGCAGGCAATCTTAATTTTGACAACCCTGTTCCTAAGTTTTAAAAGTGGTTTTGAAATTTACCAACTATTTATTACTTTTCATTTTAGTTTTGGTAAATGTAATAAAGTATAGCACTTTTCACAAACTTTTCTGAGTTTTCATATCATTTCAAAATTTTATTAAATTTAAGACATTTTCATGTCTTAAATTTCAGAATTTTTTTTGCAGTGACGCTGGGGGCGGAGTAGCTGGAGACGCTGGGGGCGGAGTAGCTGGAGACACTGGGGACGGAGTAGCTGGAGACGCTGGGGGCGGAGTAGCTGGAGACGCTGGGGACGGAGTAGCTGGAGACGCTGGGGGCGGAGTAGCTGGAGACGCTGGGGGCGGAGAAGCTGGAGAAGCTAGGAGCGGAGTAGCTGGAGTAGCTCATTGCCGGGGCGTAGCTGGAGTAGCTCATCGCTGGCGCGTAGCTGGCGAAGCTCATCTGGGCCGGGGCGGCGTAGCTGGAGAAGCTCTGGGCGGGAGCAGAGTAGGCCTGGCTGGAGAAGGAGGGGTAGCTGGACAGCGCAGTGGAGGAGAAGTCGCCAGAGCCGGAGTAGCTGGTCAGGCCGCCGTCGTAGCCGAGGCCGTGTCTCTTGGGGCGGGCGGCGGTGGCCAGGGTGGCCAGAGCCAGAACGAAAGCGATCTGCGGGTCAAATCCGAAACAGCGATTAGACTTCGGCATCACTTGAGTGTGCACTGAATACGTACTTAGGTTTTCAGTTTGCGCGTTTCTGTGACTTACCTGAACCTTCATGTTAGTTGTATGAACTGTTCTCCTCGTTCTGTGTTGACCGCTGCTGGCTACTCCTGCCACTGATTTGGAGGAGGCCCGGCCCGTCTTTTATACCGGGGTTTCCTTGATAGCAGGTCGTTCGGGATGATCCAGAAGGCAGCGACGCGTGGGACCGAGGTTCCGAACGCAGCCCGCTGAACCCGCCTGGGGCTCGGTAGGCTCGGTCCCCCCCGGCCAATCGGATTCAAAGCAGATTCGGGACCGAAACAAAAGGAAAAGTGAACACACGTGCTCCCCAAACCCACGGAGGCGATTTCTATCTCCAAGGTCATCGAGACTAATCTGTGGAACTTGTGGGTGTCTTTGAGATGCACAACAGTCCAACGACACCAGAGGGGTCCTTCCTCAGACTTATCTTAGAGACTGGATTTCCGAAAGCCGGCAAACTTTGGCCCGTTGCTTTCGTCGCCTAGGGCCGCGGTGACGTAACCTGACGCCACGACGCCGCGCTGTCTGTTCCAGTGTGCCAGTCCGGACCGCCCCGCGCCCCCCGCCTCTCCGCGTGGAAGGCCAAGGCCACGCTGTGTGGACAAGGGGCCGTCGCGCCTGGCCCCGCCCCCCTCCTTCTGTCGCGGAGCCCCTTAACTTGGGCCGTGGTGCGAAATTTAAATACGGCCTGCTGCTCGATTTTTCACGCGATTATCGAACAGTGTGCACACAGCACCGAGCCAGGCGCCTGGAAAATCGTTTCCGGAGCCGCGGGCCGCGGATGGAGCCCGGAGCCTGGAGCGCGACTCCGGGGAGGGTCAGGGCTTGGCCGCTTGGCGTGGGTGATGGCCTGCGGGCTGCGGCTCCGAACAGGGCTTTCGTGGCTTTGCTGTCTCCCGCGCACTCATGGGGCGCTCCGTGAGGGCGCGAGAGAGACAGAGGCACCGTTCGGAATCGACCTGCTGGACGGCGGTCTCGGGCAATTGCCGCCGACGGTCGGCCAGCGCGGTCACGATTAGTGGGACCGTCCGTGCCGTGTCCGTGCCCTCGCACCTCTCTCTGCAAATACTGCACCACTGTGCACGCGAGTCCAGGCGCCCCGTCCTCGCCCACTGCCACAATGTTTCCGAACAAGTTCGTCCTTTTGCACCTGCGTCGACAAGGTGTCTCCGCCCTGCTGCCCTGGCCGCGCTGGTCTATATTCTTCTCTAGAGCCCTTAGGACTCCATTCTTCTCTTGCCGGGCGATGATGTAGGGGTGCCCCTCGTCTCGGCACGCCCCTCCGTTCCGGCACAATTAAGCAGTGCTAATGGTTGGCAACCTTCGCTGAGGGGTGAAGGTGAGTGACGCGGCCGCGCAGGCGGCGTGGTTATCTAATTCCATTATGTGGCGATCTGCTGCTCACATCCTCCATCGGCGATCGCCGAGTCTGTGCATAGTAAGTGGTACAGTATTCTCCCGCATTAGGTCGGTTCGCAATAAGTCGTTTTCATGTGACGGCCCCCGCTTACGCACGGGGGTTTATGGCCCGGCGAGCTCGACCCTCGGGGATGATTGACAGGGGTCCTCCGTGCCGCCAGGTCGAAAACGCGCGAACCCGGGCGCTGACGGGACCCCGAACCGCAGTGCCGACCTGGCCAGGTAGCGTACACCCGTAAGGCGCCGGTCGGCACTGCGTTTCGGGCCACTCCAGTGTAGGACCCAAGGGCCGGCTAATTGTTTTATGGCCTCCCCGAGCTCGGAGCGCTGCCGGAGCCCGGCCTTCGCACCATGTGCTGTTCGGTTTTCGTGTTCGTTATAGTCCGAGATCCGGTCCCGAGCCGTCGACCTATTGCGGGAGAATACTGTAGACAGTTCTGTCAATGTGGCGGCGTGACGTCGATGACGTCGCGGGCGGACAGCTATGCGCTTCACTTACCAGAGTCTTTTCGTCACTCTGTCTCTCTCGCACGCATTGGACTTCCTGTGTGAGACTATGATAGTCTCACACACTTGCCCCTATAGGAGTGCGAGAGAGGGGGGGTCCTGTCGGGGAAGTCCAATGAGTGCGAGAGAGACAGCGACGTAAACGGCGATCAAAACTCTAGACGCGTTTTGAGCTCCAGAGTCACTAAACAGGACTCGAACCGAGCGTGTGACCCCACCAATGGATTACTCTTCGGAGAGCAATCCATTGGTGGGGTCACACGCTCGGTTCGAGTCCCATTTAGCGACTCTGAAGCTCAAAACGCGCCGGGGATTGCGGCCGCCTCCACCGGTCTTCTGGCCCACTGGCGCTCTGCTTGTCGGCGGGGCGGAGGGAGGACGTCGGCCGCCCTGGCCAGCAACACGCGTGTCTGCGGCGGCCGGCCCGTCGCCGGACTCGCGCGCCAAAAAGGAGCGCCCAGAACGACCCGAAGATGACAGCGATAAATCGGCGCCTACAGACAACGGGTCTGTCGAGCGATCCCGTGAAGAGTCGTTTTGGTCGCTCTGTCTCTCTCGCACCCTGCCGGGGCGCCCCACGAGAGCGACAGAGACAGAACGGCGAAAACGACGACTCTTCGGAATCAATCTGGTTGGAGGAAGTCGCTCGGCCCGGCCCCGTCATCGCCCGGTCCCCGTCGGCCGGCAGGGTGGACATCCCGTGTATACACGGGACCTATAGGTGCGAGAGAGACAGAGCAATGGTTCTACTGTAACTTCCAGTGTGCTCCCATTGTGATAGCGCCGGCAGGGTGGACGTCCGTGTAGGTGCGAGAGAGACAGAGCAATGGTTCTACTGTAACTTCCAGTGTGCTCCCATTGTGATAGCGCCGGCAGGGTGGACGTCCGTGTAGGTGCGAGAGAGACAGAGCAATGGTTCTACTGTAACTTCCAGTGTGCTCCCATTGTGATAGCGCCGGCAGGGTGGACGTCCGTGTAGGTGCGAGAGAGACAGAGCAATGGTTCTACTGTAACTTCCAGTGTGCTCCCATTGTGATAGCGCCGGCAGGGTGGACGTCCGTGTAGGTGCGAGAGAGACAGAGCAATGGTTCTACTGTAACTTCCAGTGTGCTCCCATTGTGATAGCGCCGGCAGGGTGGGCGTCCGTGTAGGTGCGAGAGAGACAGAGCAATGGTTCTACTGTAACTTCCAGTGTGCTCCCATTGTGATAGCGCCGGCAGGGTGGGCGTCCGTGTAGGTGCGAGAGAGACAGAGCAATGGTTCTACTGTAACTTCCAGTGTGCTCCCGTTGTGATGGCGCACGGCCGGCACATGGCCCGTACGGCGTTGACGGCCACGTGCCAAAGGCAGCCAAAGGCCACGGGTCACACTCCACCTGCGGCACGACCTGCGCGGCACACTGCAGGGCCTGGAGGGCACGCATTCTGCAATCCATTACCCAGGACCGCGGTCTCGCTCTGTCTCTCTCGCACCGCTGCGGAACGCCCCGTGAGTGCGAGGGAGACAGAGCGACCTGCCGGGCCGTCACCGCGACAATTAACGGGTTATTCAGAATACGCCGCGGCCACGGGCAAGCCGCGGGCAAGCCGCGGGCAAGCGGTGACGGGACGGCCATTCGTCTTTGCTTCAACTTGTTGCGCAACGCGCTGCGCTGTGTCACCCACCCGGGGAAGGTCCAGATCCCCATCGGGTGCTCATAGTTGCCGGTTTGGTCACTGGCGTCCAAACCGCGGATCCAAACAATCTTACTTTCACAAAACTCTAAGACTAGCTTCACAGGTTGTCTTCATTATTTTTTCTTGAAGTTCAATACATTTTACAGATGCAGGTCCTCGGCTGGACGCACTAAATGGGACTCGAACCGAACGTGTGACCCCACCAATGGATTGCTCTCCGAACGAGGAATCCATTGGTGGGGTCACACGCTCGGTTCGAGTCCTGTTTAGCGAATCTGGAGCTCAAAATGCGTATGGTTTTGGCCGCCGGCGCCGGTTGTCTTCTGGCCCACTGTGTAGTGTGGGCACTCCAGATTTTCGGGGGTCTCGGCTTCCCTTTCCGCGTCGCCATCGGCCGGGTGCAGTCAGTCTCGGTTGCCTCACCCCCTGCGGCCCCTGCGCCGCTCCGCGCTGGACACATGAGTGCCTATGCACGACTGGGTAAAGAGAGAGAAGGGGGAGGCGGCCGAGACGGAGAGAAAGAGAGAGACGTACTCGTCCTTGCAGGGCTAAGCCCGTTGTTGTCTATAAAAGCCAGTGCACGCCGATAGCGCTATCCAGTAATCCAAGCAGCCCCGCCAGGAGAGCCCAGCCCTGCCCATCCACACAGTGCACACACTGCACACAGCCCCGCCCAGGAGCCGACAGAGACAGGATGCAGTTCAGCGCTGTAAGTCTGGCATTGACGCGCGGAACTGGAGCGCAGTTGTACGCTTCATTCAAGCATACAGTGGGCCAGAAGACTGGTGAAGGCGGCCAAAACTCGAGACGCGTTTTGAGTTCCGGAGTCATCGAGTAGGACTCGAATCGAGCGTGTGACCCTACCAATGGATTTCTCGTTCGGAGAGCAATCGATTGGTGGGGTCACACGTCCGGTTCGAGTCCCACTTCGCGACTCCTGGAGCTCAAAACGCGTCCGATTCTGACCGCCTCCACTGGTCTTCTGATCCACTGTGCTACTCCGCTTGAAGACTTGACGCTTGAAGTCAAGCGTAGGGAGGAAATCCTTCCATGCATTTTTAGATAGGCGCGAAAGGATTCAAACGGAACCACACTTGAAGCAGCCCAGTGTGAAGAAAAGCGTTAAAGTACGCGCCGGTTTTACCAGTGTACCGCGTCGCCAAGGGGCGTGTCTAGTTTTTCCAGAGGGAAGTCCATCACGTTGTTCGTGCTCCCGTTGCCTGCAAGATTGTACGCGTCCGCCTCGGCAAGGGTCACCCAGGGTCACCGTGCGAAACGTGCGCGCACGCGGGCCTCTCGTCACAGAGACCTGGTTTTCGCGAGCGTTCTTCGGGGAGACAGGGGCTCACGGAAACGCAGAGCCGTTGGCCCCCGCGTGCTCGCTTGCGTCAGCACGCTTCCAACAGTTCACTCCGTCTCTCTCGCACCCCCATGGAACTCCCCGCGAGGGCGAGAGAGACAGAGCGACGAAAGCGGTGT